CTATGTAAGATATTTGGAACAGCTGGTGCCTCAGGTCTGATCTAGACAATAATTCATGCATACTAATAACTATATGATTGAGCAATCAACTAAAAGAACTTAAATGTAGCCTGTATTGTACATTACTATTTCTGTGAAACAGGTTTTCACCATTAGAATTGTATTTGCAGGCAAGTATTTATGTCATTGGTGCAAGATAAATCCCAAAATGATGCAAGTCTCTTGCCATAAACATGGACATACTGAACTCCCAACCCTTGAAAACATTCAAGAGGATTATGAAAAGTTTGTAGCAGATGGCTCTGTTACAAGTCAACAAAAGTTTTATCACAAAGTGATTCATGAGAAACTGCCGGACATTGAATTGGACAAAGTAAGATAAAAGAATTTATCTACAGGAGTTGCTGAATTTACAAAGTCTGCATTCTAGTGTAAATATCATGCCAGCCTACTTTACACTACTACAGGAGGAGATAGACACACTCCTTAGAAATGCAAAGGAAGAGGTAATTTTTTCTCAATTTGTGTTTTCCAGTATCACTGCTGTACAATCCTCCAATTCCATCACACATGATTCAAACCTATCTTAATTTTTTAGTGAAGGAAGCTATGATTCTGTGTTATAGTTTATTGATTTATAATATTACACTAGCACAAATCACTTTAACAACCCATCAAATTATAGCTACTGAACAGTATGTAGTTCATATTTCAAGTAGTTCATATTTCAATAGTACATCTCAACATTATAGGAAAAGCTTGCAGATGAACAAATGGAATTGGCTGCCTTTGAGAAAGCCAATGGACCACTACCAATTCATTTGGATGAGATTCTTAAGAAAATGAATGTGGAGAGACAAGCTTAACATGGAAAATCATTCATTTGTAACCATGTACACACTTGCTGCAAGGTAACATAACTTCTACCCTTAAATAGCTCATTGATGACAAGACTGATAAGCCAGGTAAGTGAAAGAATAACTGCCTTTCATGGAAAACATGAATACAATAATAGGATCATGTCTCACTCTTCCCCCTTTTCTTGTGTTCTTGTTGTAGAGGAAGACATCACAAATTTCTTCAGTTCATTAGGGAAAAATTCCCAGACATGATGATCACACCAAAGCTATATATGCTACGAGAACATGTGTGCCCTTTCCTTCGGCAGTCACATGGGTCTTGGATTCTATTGTGAACAAGGGATTGAAGGAATACACTCCGAATTCAAAACCCAGTCTCAGCATTTTGACGATGTGAAGAAAAAGGACACGAGATTACGTCAAATCCAGAATTAGCAGGGAAAGCTCCCAAACCTAAAGAGAGAAATTTAAAACGAAGAGCGAATGAGTAAAACGCTTCCCTTTACAGTGGCAATGTATTGGTTCGTTGACTAAGAACGTTTACTATATATGTAGATCTAGCGTAATTTATTTGCTAAGTTCTCTATTGGACGAATAAAAGTGTGACCGCACTCTTTGGAACCAAAATTAGACTTTCTGCTCGAAATTCAGTACCTCCGAAATTCAAAATGGAGTCGCATAACGGCCGATCTTGACATATTAAAAGCGCCTTGAATGGACTTTAAAACAATTCGGATTAAAACACTTACCTCCGTCAGTTGTTTAGTAAGGTTTCACGTCTTCTCTTGTGACTCTCGCTTTGCTGGAAAAAATTCG